GGGGGTTGGGTTTCCCCTTACAAGTTCTACCAAGCCTAAAGGGCCTGGTATGGCTTTTAGGGGGAATCTCACGCACTTTTTTCTCCCATTTGTGGGAGGAGGGGTTCCCCTTAAAAGTCCTACCAGGCCTAAAGAGCCACAGGGTGGGGTCCCTCCTAACCTTCCTACCAGACCTAAATGGCCTGGTAGGGATTGAGGGGACCCTACACTGTTTTTTTAATGTATTTTTGTTTTATTAGTATTTTTAAAAATTATTATTTATATATTTTTTTCGGGGAGAGTATTCTCCTCTCTGTCTTATATAGTGTGGGGTGGAGACTGTGCACTGTGCATTTTCGGGCAAACAGTTGGTGGTGCCCTCACACCATATCCCTTCAGAGTTATTCTTGATGAGTGCAGTTGTCACTGTTCTAAAAAACTGAAATGATAAGCACCTGTCAAACAGGTGCAGAAAAATTGGGCCTTGGGTGTTGGTGGTGCCTGCACACTGTAGCCCTTCACAGTTGCTCTTGATGAGCGCAGGAATGGGCCCTGCTGTTAATAATTGTTAAAAATTAGAACAAAATTGTGAAAAATTTAAATTACATGCACCTGTCAAACAGGTGCAGAAAAATTGGGCCTTGAGTGTTGGTGGTGCCTGAACACTGTAACCCCTCACAGTTACTCTTTCTAAGCTCAGGAATAGGCCCTGCTTTTAGAAATTGTTAAAAATTAGAACAAAATTGCAAAAAATTTAAATTACATGCACCTGATAAACAGCTGCAGAAAAATTGGGCCTTGAGTGTTGGTGGCGCCCTAAACCAAAAACATTGTTGGAAGCTAGCATAATCAGGATTCAAAAATAGGATACACAGCATAGACAGTCTTCAAGGGATCCCAGATCCCTAACAAGTTTAATCAGTTACATCAGCATCAGCGGCTTGATAGCTGCTGTTGATCCAGGTTTGATTAATTTGATAAATGTCAGCTGGTCAACATTGTATGTGGACAGATGCACTCTTTTATCCATCACAAAACCTCCAGCAGCACTGAATGTCCACTCGGAAAACACACTGGATGCAGGACAGGCCAGTAGCTCAGTTGCATATTGAACAAATTCTGGCCAGTCATCCATCCTCAAGACCTAGTAACCCAGTGGATTCTCAGTTGGAAAGGTCTCCAAGTCTGCTCTTGCCATAAATAATACTGCAACATATGATGCAGATGCTTAAACCTACCAGCCCTGGGCACTGAGGACTAAAGAACTGTTAAATGGCACCGGTCAGCCGGCTGCTCTTCCTTTGACCAAATGAAGCCTCAGAAACACTTTGTCCAGGAAATGGTAACCTCCCAGTGTCTGCAAAGGTGTTACACAAATTTTTATTCAAAGCATCCTGTTTCATCCTCTGCTCCTTCTATGAAGGCAGGATGAAATCTGCAACTTTACCCTTGTGTAGAGATGTGCTGGTTGCTTTAAATCTTAAACAGCAATTGCAAAACATTTTTTTTTCTTTTCCCTTGTTGTGAGTGAAAGACAGGAAAAGCAGGACTGCTCTGATTGGTGGTTGCTACAGCTGAGAAGGATCCACCCATAGCAGCACTGTTGCAGCTGAACTTATGATTGGCTGTAGAGGAAAAGGAGAGAGGAAAAAGGAAGAAGAAGCACATGTGGGGAGGCAGACATTTTCAGGGGACCGCATGGAGCAAGGGCTCCTAGTGTAAAGTCACAGAGTCTCATTCTCTGTGCTGCTAGAGCCCATGGGCTGGGTTGGGAGTGTGTAGCAGAGAAATTGTTGCAGGAGGACAGTATGCAAATTAAGGATCGTCCTTCCTGACACTCAGGATTACAGCCACTCAAGTGCATGTGTCTCTCAAAGTCTGGAGCTGCTGAAAGAGAGAGGATTTCTACTGCTGTCTAATGCTATCTAGAGGACAATCCAGAAACCATGAGTACTCTGTGATGAAAGGGGATTTTGATATTGCTGCATTTGCTGTTCCTCTCTGGAGAATGGTCATGAGAAAGCCTGCTCTCTAATTCTCAGAGTGACACAGATCTTGGAAAGCCCAAGCTGCTCAGAATTCGCTATTCCTGATGCTGATTGATGAGAGTACTCTGTCTCTGTATAATACTGGTTTGTCTCCTCAAGATTTGTGCTGTGGCTGAAGAGTGTGTTTAGTTCCAAGTCCCCACAGAAGTTTGCTGCTTTAAATATACTGAGCAAGTGTCAGTATATCAGGATTTCACCTGTATGGTAAAGATTAGTTGAAGTGTTGTTTTCTTCTATTGCAATGTTCACTGGAAGATTCTGCTTAAAGGAGACTGTGCTATCCTGCTACCCCTGGATTACAAATACTCTCCCATGCAGAGAGCGAGCGCTCTTCCATTGATTAAAGGGCCCCAACGTTGAGAGACTTTAAGTTTCATCCCACTGGCCAGTGGTTAGGTAGGACATTTCTGCTCTAGATAGTACTGCTATAGCAAATGTCAATAAGCTGCTAAATCTCATTAACAGTTATTGTTTCATGTGTCAATGTCACCCTAGTCAGTGTGATACTAGTAAATTTTTGGAGTCTTTGGCGAGTGAATTGTGATTTCTTACTAACTGTGTTATGCAAAGTGGTATCTGTGTTTTGTGTACATTACCTGTGTTAAATCAGCTAGTTCTTTTTCAGGGTTTGTTTTCTTCAATAAAACCCATAAAAAATATTCTCAGAGTGTCAAAGTGTTCTGGGTATAATCGGAGGTGTCACCAGATTCAGGTGGGAGCTGAACCTATATATCTAGCCAAGCATCACCCAAGGGTGTGCTACACTTGTAACATGGATTAGGAAGGAATGTCAGCCAGTAATGATCTCTCTCCTTGATATCACAAATCCTTGGGTCCTTTCGCAGGCTTTGCAGAATCAGGGAGCCAATGCAGCATAAGTTTGAGGAGGCATGAGATTCTGAGTTCTCTGGGTCACTGAGAATGACACTGTCAGGAAGTACCTTCTCCCAGCCACATATTACTCCTGCCTGGGTTTCTGGTTTCTGGGGACTGAAAACCATCCCTTGAAGACTGTTGTATGTTATCCTCTACTTCTATGCTGCCACAATCCTCCTCCTCCTCCTGTCTATTCTGCGGCCCCACAGGAATAGTATCTGCATAAAAGGGGCCTTAAGAGCAGGCCCAAAGCAGGGCAAAAAATAGTCCAGGGCATTTTAGACTGAGCAGCCAATTTGTCCAGCAACCAGGGGGGGGTTGCAGGGATGGTAGGTGATGAGATAAGCATGGTCGATCCTCTCTACTGAAATAAGGGGCACTGTAATGATTACAGTGCAGTTCCCTTTATATAACAGTGCCCCTTTACATTACAGTGCACATAGCCATCACAGCCCCCCATCACAGTGCCCCTTGCAGTCATGACCCCCTTTTCTCTATAATCACAGTGCCCCCTTTTACTCAATTCCTCCCCTGCACAGTCATTACTTCAGCAGGGCAGTGGCAGGATTCAGCCTGTGTCTCCTGTCCTGGCTCCCCCCATTCCACCAACGATGTCATCCTATCAACAGAGCAGGGGGCCAGAGGAGCTTCAGATATGGATCATATTTAAAAACAGGTGATTACCCACTAGTTAATATGGTAAGATCTCCAGCTCCTCCTGCCCCCTGTTCTGCTGATAGGATGACATCGATGGTGGAGCAGGTTGCCGGGAGAGGAGACACAGGCATGGACGCATAGTACTCCTCTCTCTCAAGCACTTTGTATATCAGATCTATCCAAGTAGATCACTTTCTCTTTATATATGGGATTCCTCTCTCAAATTTCTTCATATATCTGACCTTTCTCTCTTTTCTCTGTATATATCGAATCTCTGTATAGTAGTTTTCGCTTTCCCTGTATATGGAATTGCTCTGTATAGCTGATATTTCTCCTTCCTCTATGCATAGTAGATTTCTCTGCATAGAGGATCTCATATATCAGAACTCTGTATTCATGAATAGTAGATCTCTCTGTCTATGGGACCCCTCTCTGTACATGGGATCTCTCTGTGATTTGGATTTCTGTCTCTCTATATAGTAGAACTCTCCCAATGTCTCTCTGTATATGGGATCTCTCTGTACAGTAGATCTCCCTGTATACAGATCCATCTCTCTCTCCTATGTCCCTTTCTTCTTCCCCCTCTCTCTCCTTCCCTCTCTCCCTCTCTCTCTGTATAGTAGACCTCTCTCTTACACACTCTCGAGGCCCCCGAAGCGCTGCATAGCGGGAGGTGAGCGGCAACCACAGTCTGGGTTAACCGCCTGGACCGCGGTTGGCACACACCTCCCGCTGTGCGGTCTGGTCATAAACAGGCCACAGAGCAGGGTTTGGGCCCAGCAGCCCCGGCCCACCAGGTAAGTGCTCTGTATACCCTATGGCCATTTCAGACCTGCTTGAGAGGAGGCTGTTCTGCCTCTTCCCGCTGTTCTGCCTTAAGTGCCCTGCTCATGATCCCACGCAGCATGTGCTCCAGCAGGAAGACTAGAGGGATAGTGTCACTGATGCATGCATTGCCGGGGCTCACAAGCCTTGTGGCCTCCTCATATGGTGACAGGAGGGTGCATGCATCCTTTATTAGCAGTCATAGGCCTGGCAAAAAAAAGCCAAGCTCCCCTGAGCCTGTCCTATGCTCCTTGTGCCATACTCACACAGGTGCTCATTGATTGCCCTGTGCTGCAAGTGCAGCCGCTGCAGCATTGCCAATGTTGAGTTCCACCTGGCAAGGAGAAGGAGAAGTCTACACTTTATTTTGATGTGGGTCTTTCAGGTGCTGTTGCCAATGGGCTGAATGGCAGGTCAGCATATCTCTTGTCAAGCATGTGGTGCCCAAGCAGCAGGTGTTTGATCTGCTTGATCCACTTCTGACAGAGTCTGCAAACAGCAACACTGAGGTCTGCTGCATATGATGAAAAAATCCCACACAAATGAACTTTTGGTAGTCAGTGGGGAGTAAGCAGTGCCCTGCACCTGTGGAGCTCTGTCGTGTAATGCAAGGGTGGCTGCCCTTATGCCTGCCCCTGGAGGACATCCTGCCTCGTTGCAGTTGTGCCTCCTCCTCACTTTCCTCCTCTTTTCTCTCAGGCACCCAAGTACAGTCAGTAACCTCATCATCCCCTCCCTCCTTGTCACTGGAGCCAACTCGGCAGTATGCTGCGAGGGGGGGAACATGACTGCCAATTTCTTGTCCATCATTGGCAACCCCTGTCTCTAGGCTCATGTCACTCAACCTTCCTCAACCTTGAAACCAACATTGGAGCATTCAAATTGCTGCGCGTCCTCCAGCAGCATGTAACTGAACCTATGATCGAACAATTTAGGTGCATGATGGTGGAGCTACAGAAGGAGTAGCTGTGGACAAGGAGCCTGTAAAATAGGCCACTTTGGCAGCTGCAGTGGAAGGCAAACTAGTATGAGGAGGATGTCGATGGTTTAATTATCAACTCCATCACCTCTTCTGCATGTTGTGGCTCAATGACACAACCAGCACTGGAAAAAAAGGACAAGCTTGCCCTGCCTGCAGAGTATACACCATGTCCATGACCACCAATTTCACTGTGGACACAGAGGCTGCTTGCCCTCTTTTAGCTGCCTGTGAGCGTCTGCCTCTCCTTGTTGGCCTTTCGGACATGATGGAGATTTTTTTCTTGGATTTTTATAACTTTTTATGGGATGAGAATTTGGTGCTTGGGTGCAATAATTTTGTGCTTAGTGCACAACCATTTTACTATTTTTTTTCTTTTAATAAAGATAATAGAGGGTACAGCAATTATGGAGAATTTTTTTTTACTGCTGCTGCAAAATGAAATTAAAATAAATGAAAAAAATTAAGAAAGCAAAAAAAAAACAAAACTGGTGACGCAGAAGGAAGAAGACCTGCGACTCAAAAGGAGGAACAGCAATTGCTGAGAAAATGTTTTTGCTGCTGCTGGGAAAAAAAAATTCAGAAAGCCAAAAAAAAAAAGGGAACCACTACTGATACAGAAGGAAAAACACCTGTGATGTAGAAGGGGGAACAGCAAATATGGCCAACATATTTTTGCTGCTGCAGCAAAGAATAAATAAATTAAATAATAAAAAAAAATTCAGAAACCCAAAAAAAAAGGGAATCACTGCCGATGCAGAAGGATGAACAGCAATTATGCCATAAATATTTTTAGTGCTGCTGTGTCGAAAAAAAATTTAAATTAAATTAAAAAAATAAAATAAACAAAAGCAAAAATAAAATAAAGAAAACCACTGCTGATGCAGGGGGAGGAGCACCTGCAACACAGAAGGGGGAACAGGAATGATGCAGCAACAGAACCTGATGCTGAAAAAAAAAAGAAAAATTTAAAAAAAAATTTAACAAAGAAGAAAAAATGGGAACAGTGGTGATACAGTAACACTACTATACTGCTCCTCACAACACCGCACTACACTGTCACTGACTACACTGCACTGTATCCTAACACACCACTAAGTTCACGAACACCAACACACTACATAAGGCAGCTGTGTAAGCAGCCTTATATAGTGTGAGCCATGATTGGCCAAAGTCACTGAGACCTTGCCCAATCATGGCTATCACAGTGCATTTTGATGTCATTGGCCAAAGCATTGCCCCTGACCTCTGGTCAGGGGCATTGCTTTGGCCAATCATGGTTCTCAATGCATTGTGAGAGTGCACTGCATTGTGGGGTGCTCGATGGGTGAAAAGCCCGCCAAACGCCCTTACTGTTCGTGTGTTCGCCGAACATACGAATACCCGATGTCCGAGTTGAACCTATGTTCCACTCGTACATCATGCCCAACACTAGTATGTGATAAGTGAGGAAGAAAATAAAGATGTGACATATTCTAAAATTGCTTGATGGTTTCTTTATGAACACCAAACTGCTTATCAAGGCTGTGCTCTTGTGTACTGGTGATATAATGCACCTGGCTTGTAGATCCTTTAGTTCATCTTCTACTGGTTGCATTAAATATACAGGCATTCCTCTTATTGGTAACCTATTGGACTCCATTGTTGAATCAATTTCAGGTTAGTATATGCCTTCAACCTTCAAAGGGGTTTACATAAATTTATAGTCTGTAAATCTAAATATCCATCTGCCTTTTGTTCTGAATAGCAATGAGCCGAACTGTCCTGGGTTTAGCTCAAGCAGGGTTCAGCTAACTTCAAAGAAGTTTGGATGCTGAATCTGTAGCTAACTGAAACCGATGCAATCTGAAACTGTCAAAAAAATAACATTTCTATTTTTAAAAGAAAAAAAAATTTAGGTGAATGGGCTAGGTGATGTCCACTCCATAAATCAGGATTTCTATTTTGTGGAGGTATATTTTATTTTAGTTTACTAAGGCCTTTTTGGGGCACTTATTCAGATACACTTGTTTCTGACACAAGCAAAGCCACCCCTTGTTTTCAGCAGTGTATACTTGTCAAAAAAAGTTTGTGCACCATAATGTCACAGATCTATTCTCCATTATCTCGCTGCCATGTATTAAAAAAAAAAAACAGGCAAACCCAAAGTGAGGGACATCGATCCTGAATTCACAGGTTATAGTTGTTTTGAGTTCTACATATTTATATTTTTAATTGTCATTTTTTAAATTTATTTACTTTTTTATTGTTTTTTTTTTCTTGTAAGGCCATCCCTGCCTGATCTCAGGCAATGCAAACTGGGTGCTATCTATATAAAAAAGGAAGTCTTAGTGCCATATACCAACTTGTCCCTAAAAATATTATAAAAGCAAAAGGGGGGGGGCAGTCTGGGGGAAGGACAGGCAGCACCATAAAGTTAAGAGTTGAACACTACAGCTATTGGCTGCCTGTCCTTCCCCAAATCTTCCTTTTTGGCTGCACATATCGGAGAATCAGTATGGAGAAGCTGGATCTGGGAAGCTGGATATTTTTGCAACATGCCAATGGTGAATCATACAGGAGGTATTGAAGTGCCCGACAAAACCTTTTTCTATTAAATCCTTCCAGGCTCTGAGCTCAGGCTTTAATGCTGTCTTTCCTCCTCCTTTTCCTCAAAGCAGTGGATGGATGGAGGATGCAGTACAAACTCTTTGTCACATTTCCTGATAGTGGTTGGATCTCCTGGGCAGCACAGTGGCTAAATGATTAGCACTTCCGCCTGGCAGTACTAGGGTTGTTGGTTCAAATCCCAACCGCCCACCACCTGCATATTCTCCCTGTGCCTGTGTGGATTTCCTTTGGGTACTCTGGTTTTATCCCACACTCCAAAAGACATGCTGGTAGGTGAACTGGCTCCTGTCTAATTGGCCCTAGTATGTGTGTGTATGAATGTAAGTTATGGACCTTAGATTGTACGCCCCTTGAGGGTTAGGGACTGATGTGAATGTACAATATATATGTAAAGTGCTGCGTAAATTGACGGTGCTATATAAGTACCTGAAATAAATAAATAAATCTACTGAATTATAGGCTTAGCTTCAGGAAGAGGAAAAAAGAAGACAGGGTTTTAAAATATTTTTTTTTAACAGTATGTACAGATTTAAATTTTTTTCCTTGTACGGTTGTCCCTGCCCTAGTAAAACAAACAGGAGCAGGGATGGCAACGAAAACTCATTCACTCAAGCCATCAAATCAAAGCATGTATACGGTGTTGAATTCTGAAACTATAGTGTACAGTCAAGAAAACGGTTAAAGAACTGAAAGGTCAGCTGAGGTAGAAAATTCTATAAATCAGTCTATGACTACAGTAAAACTCTAAAGTCTATTTGCTTTCAGGAAAAATATCTCTAATATGTTAACAGGGCCATTTCTGGAGTGCAGAGAGAACCATATTGTTATGAAAAAAAGGATATTGGACCTTCTGAGACACATGGAGGGTTATTTAATTAAACTGTATGGTGCAAAATCTGGTGCAGGTCTGCATAGACACCAATCAGCTTACAGGTTTCATTGTCAAAGCTTAATTGAACAAGCTGAAGTTAGAAGCTGATTGGCTACCATGCACAGCTGCACCAGATTCAAAGCAAAGACCTCATTGGTTATCAAGGAGAAAATGACTATATTGTGTTTATTTTCTACTAGAAAAGTATCCTATGTACATTTAAAAATGTATATTAAAGTTTAATTTAAGTTTATTTAAAAGTTTATGTATTTAAATAAACATATTTATTTAAATAAACACGTATCTTTCTCTCTCTATATATTTTTAACACATTTGAAATAAATACATATTGGTGCTGCAACAACTTGTGCACAAAAACCTGAAATGTAAATTAGTACTTAAAGTCTTACTAAACCCAGGACCTTGCTTTCAGTATATCTGGTCTCCCACAGTACACAGAACATGGAAGTGCAATTTTAGTAAATATAAACGGCTAAATACCTTTTCTCATCAGCAGTTAGAGCAGTCTTGTAACTTCTATCAATGTCCAGTTGAGCACTGGTTAAAGCTTGTAGAGAAGTTTTCTTTCTGCTGTAGAAGGATGCAGAACCCCTGACCTCTGTCTGGACAGCGCAGATTGGCCCTGTGCTGATCACATGCACTCTCTCAAGAAAAATTTTTTTTTTTTTGCCATCTTAATTCCCTCAGTGCACCCATAACATATGGGAAATCGTTTGATGTGTACTTGGAGCATGTGAGTGGTTTGTTCTGCTTGTATATCCAAATAAATAAGCATATTGCACTATGGAAGGTTTTCTTTTTTATCCATCCATGGCCCTGAAATCTCATTGCTGAGTCCTCCCATTAAATGGTGGAGTGGATATCGATGTGATAGAGGAGTTATTGTGGAGCCATTGGGACAAAGGTTTATCTTGATGATTGAGAGTCCAATCGGTGTGGAACATCACTATATGATTTGTGGCCCCTAGGGGTCGAGTGAAGGAGGAGAGGAGGCACTCTAGCCACTGGAGGATTTAAGCACTAGAGTGACACTTTGATTAGAGCACAGATTTGAAGTGGAGGAAGAAGAACACACATTTTTTTTTTATATATATATATATATTTATTTAAAAAATGTTTTATATATATTTATTTATTTCACAAGAGAGTGTTAGCATGCGTTTTGCACTTTATTATATATTGCATTTTTATATTGATTGATTGTCAACACTGGTCACTTTAATGTAGTGGCTGTTCACTGTGAGCACATTTTAATTATATTTTAGGTTGTATTCAATATATATATGTGGTTTGTGAGCACTGGTCACTTTGTATACACCGAGTGTGTGCACATTTTGTACCAATTTTAGCCTCTTGATGGCAGACTGGTTGTTTTTCTGCTTGTTTACACATGTATATTGGATTGATGCACTAGTCACCTTATTCTTATGTTATATAATTTGTAATATATATTTTTATTAGGTTAATTTATTTAGTACCCTCAAGGCTGAGCGCTTCATCCATTTTTCTGTGGTTTTTTTTGGATCCCAAGGTATAGGATTTAGATGATAGCAGCTTGCTCTGTTTCAAGTAACTCTGTGGAGCGCAGGAGGTTTTTTATATAATTGACATTGTGGAGTCCACTGTCCAGAGCAGGAGCACATGCGTTCGGTTGCTTTATTCTTCTTTCCAGTATAACAAGCATACTTTACTGCATATACAGACTGATTTTACTGTTGTGGTTTGAGTAACACTTTAACAGATATAGATACAATACAGATTTATAAAGTAATGTTGTGGTAAAAAGGTCTGTGCTCCAACAATGCATATAAAAATACATTTTATTAAATATCATGCTTTAAAACCACATGAGCCATTTAGATTTGTTACTGCAACTTGTATGTCTTTGAAACTACATACAGTATATACATACATACGTACATGTGCAGTAGAATTAGGCAAGAAGTTAAAATTGATATACTGTTTTATTTTTTTGCTTACCTATTTAATATACATCACATCAGACTGAATTATAGATAGGACTGTAGGCAGATAATAATTTTACCATGAATTAATAAAGGAAAAACTCTGCTATATTTTGCTGCTGTATGATAAATAATTTATTGTTTGCAGTGTATTTTATGTTTCTGCTGTGTATACATGGCCTTGATGATATTATTAGCCATGCACCATGCTGTTAATACATCCAGAAAGCCTTAGGAATTGTTTAGCTGTTGTTTTCCAGTGGCATATTCATACAGTGAAGACTTTCAAGTGGTAGACAGATAAAGGGGCATAGAAATAGAAAGAATATCTGCTATAAACCACATATGTAGACTTAATGGTAACAGTGAATATAAGAGTACTTTATTCCCTAAAGCATGTGTTTTGTCCTATGCATTCACATGGGAAACACAGATTTACAGAACTTTATAAAGTACTTTAGATTTATCTATACGATACACTGTGTTGTGAACTGTGTGACCATGTAAGTTTGTAGTGCCATGAGACCTGGGAGCTGCATAATTCAAATTTGGTTCTTGCAAAGCTTCATGAACAACATCTTCTAAATACAAATGCATTTTATTAGCCATAATTCCTGAAATAACCAAACTACTGCATGTACATAATGCAGCTGGTTCTTCTATGTCACAAATTAATTGTTTTAACCTACGCATTCTGTTTCCACTATGCACACATTTGCCTTCTTGCTTCTAAAAGCTGATAATGGAAATAATATTAAAGTATTTGAACTGCATAATAGCATCACTGTATGAACAATTCTCAATCGCCTTAAAAATACTCCTTTGACCTTTCCAGTGCTTCTTGAAAAATTAGTGCTGCATGATTCACTTCCATCATGTATACAAAATACATTAACTTCCAGCATTGTTCCGGCGGCAATAAATTGGCATGATTATCAGTCAGTCACAAAGTGATATTCATGCTCTCTATCAAGAAGTTATTTGATGAGGAAAGTGGATACTGGTTAAACCTTTTCAGAGGCTATACAATATAAAATGTTCTTTGAATCGGGTCTTATGTTTATATTCGTAATCTAAGCAATCAAACAAACTGATTGGTAAATTTCAATCATAGAGTGTTAGCATTACTCTTGGTTCCATTATTGAAAACACAGTGTGTTCTAATAGTTATGCAATGTAGTAGCAAGCATTAAGACATAAGAGTAGTATACTTAATTTAGTAGGGAAAATGTAGAGATTATAACATAAGCATAAACTAAGGAGCAAGATAAAGCAGTCATTTGCTAGTATCTATTCACTGAGATTGATTTAAAGTGATAATAAAGGTAAAGTTTTTTAAGTAAGAAACATGTCATACTCACCTGCTCTGTGCTATGGTTTTCCACAGAGCAGCCCTGAACATCCTTTTCTCGGGTCCCCCACTGGCGCTCCTAGACCCTCTCTCCTGCTGCATCCCCCATAGCGAGTGGCTTGCTATGGGGGGCAATTGTGCGTGCTCGCTCCCAAGCCCCACTCTGTATCTATGGAGTTTAGCTCAGCCCCGCCCCCCCCCACTCCCTCCTCACTGGCTGTGATTGACAGCAGCAGGAGCAAATGGAACCACTGTTGTCTCTAAGCCAATGAGGAGGGAGAGAGTCAGGAGAGCTGCTGCTCTTGTGCTCATTGCTGGATCGAGATCAACTCAGGTAGGTATAAGGGAGAGTGGAGACGAGCATTGAAGGTTTTTCTTATCTTCATACATAGAATGCATGAAAGTAAAAAACCTTCAGTCTCTAATACCACTTTAATAAAGGAGTAGAGAATTAATTCATTTATAAAGTGAATGAGGTAAAGCTATGTTCATTTTAAACACCTAATCATGTTCTCAAACAAGTGAAATAAAAAAATATATTTCTGCTCACACATGGTTGGATATTCCAAGTGAACACAGCTTTTCTATTTTGTAGTTAAAAGTGAAGTGCAAAGTGAATACTGTTTACTCCTTTAGTAAGAATCAACAACAGTCAGCAGGGTTCATTTACTAATGGAGTAGAAGTGTTCACTTTGAAAAATAAGTAAAACTTAAAGTGATATTGAAGGCAATCTTAAAAAACAAACAAACATACCATACTTACCTGCTCTGTCCAGTGGTTTTGCATACAACAGCCCTGATCCTCCTATTTCAGGGACCCCGCTGGCACTCCTTGCCCCTTCCCCTGCCTAGTTTCCCCAGAGCAAGCAGCTTGCTGTGGGGGCACCCAAGCAGGCTAGCTTCTGAGCCGCTGCTGTGCATCTCCATTCTCATGCAGAGCCATGGTTTGGCCCCCCTCCCTCTCTCTCCTTATTAGCTCACTGACTGTGATCGACAGCAATGGGAGCCAATGGCTTCCATTGCTGTCTCAGCCAATGAGGAGGTAGTGTCTCTGAAGC